GGTAGGAGAAGAACATCATCTTATTATTATAATAATGAGAATAATTATTACTTTTAATTTGTGGGGAAAAGGACAAATAACAAAACTAAAAGTTAAATCATGTGATCATCTCCTGTAACTACAGACAGATTAGGGGGAAACTATTTAATTGAAACAAAATAAACAATTCAATTATTCAGTACTCAATTTTTTTAACAATATTTAACATTTCACTAGTTGAGGGTATAATCTCACTTTTTATTAGAGAACAGGAATGAGTCTTTTCAAAAGGAAAGAATTTCACTATTTTATTTAATTTAAGACAACTTAGATTTATTTTGGGAAGTTTTTATGTTCGGTAAACATAATACTGCAAGAGTGATGCAAACAATGTAGTATATTATAAAAAGATGTAAGCTAACTGTTTTCCCGGCCACTTGAAAAAGACTTCTCTGCTCCGTCTAATTTACAGATCAACATGAAGTGACCTCAGGTTTGAATTCATGATTACAAATAAATATGAGCTTCACTTGCGATACATGATTTTATCAGTTTGTGTGTTTGTATCTGTAATAAATGTAATCTAAGTGATGACATATTAAGAAAGAGGGACAGATTTGAAAGAATTTGCATGAAGGAATGACAAAGTGGAAAACCTTTATTACAGTAAATGTTTCAGTGTCTTTGTATATATTTATAAAAGTTTGAGACTTAAAACAGTTTCACTCTGAAAGCACGCTGATGAAGCTTCAATGTTTTAAAAAGAACCTGGTTCTCTGAAATAAGAGGAAAAAAATGCCTAATTTTATCACTGAGCACAAGATAAGATATCCATAAGACGAGACGAGACAATAATGTATTTGTTTTCACAGCTTTGAGTTCTTACACAGGTGTGAGACGAGACGAGATAAGATAAGAAACTTTATTTATAGGGATATATAGTAGATGGCTCCAAAATTAGAGCAAGAGAACAGTGTAAAAAACACAACAGAGAAATAGATCAATTAAAATATAAAGTGTTAGAGGGATAAATGCAAAGAAACAGTCCCTAACACAGCAACAATAATAAGTATTCTTCCTGCTCCTTTTCAAACATGTAACTAGATTTTTTTGTTTTCTTACGCACGATTCTTTTATAGGTTTGTTTGTTTTGTTTTTTTGACAATAAAAAAGAAAGTACATGTTCGAAATAGAGACTTCAATCAATCAATGCAATTAGTGATGACCTGGTCATTAATTATATATAATTAATAATAAAATATATGATATATAAATGTATTAATGTGAATGTAAGTACAACATTCATTCCTGTTTTAGGTTTGTATTTTTAACCTTCAGTCAGGTGATCATTTTCTGTGTTTGTCAAGAACTTTAAAATACAAGTAAACAAGTGAAACATTGTTAACATGGAAATATTGATTACATTTTTTTTTAATCAAACACATGATTTTTATTTCTCTTCTCTCTGCAGTGACTCCTGTGTTTGTGCAGACAGGAACAGATTTACGTCTGGAAGTGAAGGAACCTGTTGTTCTGAAGGAGGCAGATTTATTTACATGGAAGGTCAATGGCAGTGTTAATGTTGTGAGACTAGTTCATGGTGGTAAACAAACCATTTCCTCAAATTATACATCTAGAGCAGAATTTTCTGCACAAAATCACTCTCTACTGTTAAAGAACGTACAAAAGAGGGACAGCGGAGTTTACAGAGCAAGTGTTTCTGCTGAGAATGCCATCATTGTAGCTGAATACAGCTTCACAGTTCTGGGTACGTTTCTTTAATTTGAAAATGTTGATACAAAGTCGTTCCCTGTTTTAAAAAAAGTCATCACACTTGCTTTGCTTCCTGCAGATCCAGTGTCTGGAGTGAAGCTGACAGTGAAACTCTGCAGCTCAGACTCCACTAAGGTCACAGTGATCTGCAGCACTGAGGACTCTCTCATCAGCAGCACGTTCACATGTGACAACCAAACCTGCTCTCACGAGGGAGGAGAGCGAGCAGAGATCATCACACCTGGTGCTTCTCTGGACGTCTACCTGGAGAACGGCTCAGTCATCTGTAACCATAGCAACCAGGTCAGCTCTACAGGACATCCAAAAGATTGAAGATCTTTGTGTAGAAAGCCTCGGTAAGAGTTAAAAACTACAATTTGATGCTAATAACAGTGTGATTGTAGCCTAAATAAAAAAACACAGAAACATTTTTTGATGAAACAATATGATTTTTTCTCCAGATTTTTTATATAATAATAAAATATATTATTAATATTGCAAGAAAGAATTGCCTAGGAGACAGAAATAAGGTCACGATTAAAGACCATCCAATGTTGACATTTTCATGGCCCAATTTGTAATGCAGAGTTATCTCAGTCCATGTTTTTTAATAAACAGAAATCATTGATTTTCTATATAAATTTGCCATGGCTTAAATATAACTGTTAATAGGCAAGACCATACATTTTCTTTAAAGTTGAAAAGATCACTGACATTTATTCTGCACTATGACTTTAATGGTGTAACTCTGACACCTAGTGTTTAAAACGGGTACTGCAGTCCAAATCCAAAACATTGGAGAGAACTCTTTCTGCGTCCTCCGTAGATGAAGCGATGCATCTAATCCTGTCCTGAAGTTTCTAACAAATCTCCTCCTCTCTTATTGTCGACTCATGTTCTGTTAAACTGTGGCTGGTAAAATGTCAAAGGATCTTCCTGTTTAGATGTAAAGTCAGTATGCAAAAAGAGGAACAACTGACTTGCTGCACCCTGTCCTGTTGTTGAATCACATTCTTGTTGAAGATCGGTTTGCGTCACTTTTCTGATGAAACAATGTTTTTTTTTTGGTCCAGAGATATCTGGGGTTGGTTTCTCTATCTACAGGCTGAAGATATACGTGGTCTCGATCGGTCTGGTCATCATGATGTGTGCCGTCATCAGTGTTCACGTCGTAGAGAAGCTTAAGAAGAAAAAATAAACAACCACCTCTCCCTCAACAATCCTCTGTGGAGAGTTTGACCACTAGTAGCACAATGGAGCTACTTGTTTTCTTTTCTTTTTTTTGACTGAACATGTGTGACCTTGTTGTGTTTAAGCTGTGTGTATGTGAGTCTGCAGGGGGCACGGTGGTATATACACACTTATTTCACAGACTTCATGCTATTCCACTGATGGACTGTTGGTGGCGGTAAAACACAGAGAAATGTAGTTTGAGGAGGCAGAGGAAGAATATCAGCAAACATGGATGCAAATAATGAAGAGAGTAAAAATACCTGTACAATTCTGCTTTGACTTATAAAGTTTATTAGGATAGAAGTGACTCAGCACTTTTGTAGAGCTTCATAGACATATTATAAATACCTTTTATATCAATAAAATTAATGTAAAAAAAAGCGATTGCATTGTTTCTTTACTATACACACAGTTCATCCATCACACAACACTATCATTTCCCTCCATCCATTATTCGGGGTCGCGGGCGGGGGGGCTGGAGCCGATCCCCGCTGTCATTGGCTGAGAGGCGGGGTAAACCCTGGACTGCTCCCAGGTAATCACAGGGCAAAATGATTTTATTTCTTGAATTAAATTGTTTACATTGGCCTCTTGTAAATAAATTCATTGCTCAGAGTTGATGTTAAAAGGTTTTTGAGAATGTTGTCTGTAGAAAAACATAAAATGCAGTATTTGTAATGTCGTTTGTCCTATTTACAATATTATTAATGATAATTATAAAATATTAATCAATTATATTTCACAGTATTTGTCCAAGCATCATATTGGACCCTCAGTAATAAACTCTCACTCTATAATATGATGTGAAGCCTCCTTTCTGGACCTTCAGTAATAACAAAAGCATTGTAAATATATTGTACTCATCGATATATTGGATGGATAATGGCTAATAGGTGAGAGAGTTTGATGTGTTTGGTGTTAATTCACTTGTTTTATTGTTTCTTTTTGCTGACATGAAGTTCAGTGTGAAGCAGTAAACTTATTCACTCATTCTTTAAATGTCTGTTAAAGCTCCTGTGAGGAGTTATTAACTGGTTATGTAACAGACTGAGATTAATACTGAAGCCTCTTTATGAGCTACACAAGCTGAGGAGATCATCATGGACAAGTCACTATGGAGGAGGTGTCAGGCCAAACTTACCTTTTTTACATTCTGCATGATAAATGTTCATGTTGAGTGATACATTTGCTTTAAAAAAAAAAGCTATATGAGGTTTCTTTTATCCACAAGGTGTTATAAGGTTGACACAAACCAGAAGATCCTCACTGTAGCTTTAAATTAAAAAGGCTTTATTCACATTAAGGTTTAAAGAAACATTTGATAAGAAGCATCAAGATGATCAAATATTAGCAAAAACACAAATTAGCAATAAAACTATGTAAAAAAAATAGATTGTAACATTTGAAATATATACAGTAAAATACTTAAAAAAAATAAAATTATCTGCATCAAAACAGTTCTATTGTATGTGTCACCTGATTGTTAACAGCAAAGGTGTCTCCATATAGCATGTGACATAAATGATCTCTATAAACATATAATTTATGCAGCTTCATTGGCTCCCGGTTAAACATCGCATCACCTTCAAAATTCTGCTCCTCACCTTCAAGGCCATCCACAACCTCTCTCCACTTTACTTCTCTGAACTCCTGCACATCAACACACCTACTCGCACTCTCAGGTCTTCTTCTTCCATTCAACTCATTGCACCACCCGCCCGCCTGTTCACCATGGGGGTCCAGGGCCGTCAGCCGCTCTGCCCCTCACCTCTGGAACTCCCTCCCACCACAAATCTGTCATATCGACTCTCTCTCTATTTTCAAATCTCATCTAGAAACACATCTTTTTAAAATGGCATATTCAGTCTGATCATTCTCCACCCGGTCTCATAACTCCTCCACATCCTGTACATTTGTGTTTTTTGTGTTTTTAAGGTTAATTTTATCGATGTGTTGTTACTTTGTTGTTTTAGAGAGATTTGAAAGGCGCCTTTAAATAAAATGTATTGTTATTATTATCATTATTATTATTATCATGATGTTGCAGGTGAGAGGCTCAAATGTCTGCAACAAAACAGTTCTTGTTTCTGTTCCAAATGGTATTATTCATCAGCAGATTTAAATGTACATTCATTGATGAATACCCTCTTGAGATGAATCATCTCGTTTTCAAGGGAGGTCCAACCCACCAGGGCATTCATTCTGTATCGCTACTCCACCCACACAACGTAAACAAGCACGAGATTTCACATCACATATTAACTAATAACATTGTAAGTATTGACACTAATGATGGTAATTACAAAGATTACAGTACAATCAGAAGCCTCCTTATTAAGGGAGCAGGAAGACATTATTATTGGAAGCAGTGGAAGGGCGATTTAATTTTTTTTTTTTTAAAAGGTACGAAAAGAGTTAATTGTTCACAGGTTATCTGGCAAATGATTCCAGTCAGAAGGTGCTTGTTGTTATAATTCATAATAAAATCAGCAATCTGACTGTAGTTGGGTCTTTTAACTTCATGACTCAAGTAGCTAGTCCACGACCGATGCACAGAAAAAGAAGACGCAGTCAGAAGTCCTTCACTGTTACTAAACTAAACTAAACTAAACTAAAGAGGTCATTCCTGCAAGAGAAGTGTGTTGAAGACATCATATTGAACTGTTTCAGGACTTTGGAAGTTTTTCCACCTCTGCATACAGGCTCTCTGGCTGAGCGTTGTCTCTGGGCTGAGTGGGTGCTTCAGAGACGATGGGAGGCCCCAACAAGGAGTAGTTGGAGGGTAGAGGACCAGCTGGGGCATCATTTGTTGGTCTCTGCTGCAGAGGGAGGTCTGTATTCACAGCCTTTAACACACAACATAAGAATGGTTATTTTGCTGTTTGATATGTGATTTTCTAATTGGGCTATTATAATGTATTAGCACTGAAATAAATAACAGCCAATGAACTCCTTAACAGACATATAATCCTTCATATTAAGTGAGAAGATAAAAACTGTTGCTTCAGTCCAGACTTCTTGAAAAGCATGTTAGTACAATTTATCACAGAAAGCTACTGCTACATTATTTGTCCAATTTGTGACTGAGAAAACATCCCACAAAGACTCAGTTACAGTCAGGTCATTAAAGGGATACTTCACCCATTTGCATTAATCTTTGTATCATTAGAAACCTGGTAGTGTTTTTGAATGGTCGTGCATCCCGCCCTCATTTTCCCCTGAGATGGGAAATCTTTGTATTTCTGAGTCTGAAAAGAAGTTTCCAGTGACGCAACATGACGATTTTTGTGTCACTGGAAGCTGCTAGCGGTGTGAAACTACAACGCTAGTTCCTCATATTTTCAACCACTGAAGCTACAGACCAATCACAGATCAGTGGGTGAGAACTCACTCACAGAATCGAAACTTAACGTCCGCCATATTGCTTGGAAGCTATGCTAACAGGCTCTATGGAGAAAGCTGATAATGGCGAGAAAATACAAATATAGTTGCAAGACGGCTGCTGCAGACAGACCGGTCTTGTGTTTCGGCTGCTACGGCCGCCACTGGCCACCACTAGCCGCCGGGCGACGGGGTGAGGACGAGGACCCCGGGCCGGCTCGAGCTGGGGTGGACTGGTAGTGTCGGTGCTCTCACTGTTTGTCTATGGACACAGACATAGAGTCTGTTTTCTGCCAGGAATTTCCAAGATCAATTCTGGAAGAAATCTCTGAATCAGTTGAGGAAATGGTCTTATGTGTTGAAGTAAATATGTCTGTAAATGTTTTTATTACTTTATTTCTACTGCTATACTGTATGTTTTGGAGAAACTGTATCGATCGAATTTCCCTCTGGGATTAATAAATCATTTCTGATTCTGAACTAGAGGACCTTAGTGGGAGTGGCCTGTGGTGCTGTGCATTCTGGGATTTGGTGTCTTTCATCCACATGAGCCAAAAAGTCACTTTCTGCCTTTCTGCCAAGAAGGCACCAACTTCAAAATGTATTTCACATTTCTACAACATATATGACCCAATGTCAATACAGATTCATGTTTCAACGGGTGAAGTATCCCTTTAAGTTCTGTGACTGAATTTGCTGGTTTGATGTCAATCAGAAAGCTATTAGGTTCAACTTGCAACACAGAACCACAACACCCCATAACTTCAAAGGTTTAATACATTTACAACTGTTGGGAAGAAGTCGTCATGGATCTAGAAATGAGCTATGGTTTTTTATATCAGTTCTCAATCATTAATTTGTTTAAGAATTTCTTCACTTCTGACTAATTTGGGAAATTGGTATTAAAAAATATTCCTCCTTACCTGAGGATCTTCATAGACTGTATTTTCCATGTTCTCTGCTTTATCTGCAGATCAGTCATAAAGAAACATGTTGAAACTACATTAACATTACTGGAGCTGATTCTTTCTGGATTTATTTGGTGTGATTTTGAGAGTCACTTTGAAAAATGTATTCTGTTAATTTATTAATAGTAATGAATGCAATCAAAATGCATAAACATTTTATAATGGGCCTCATTTTAATTGTTTGTAAATGATAAACAGTTTTGAATTGCCATCCTCAAATACTGTAAATTCATGTGAATTTAAAAGTTCTTTACATATGATTTATTTTGTTAACATTGTAAATTGTTTATTTATTCTAACTCTAAGGTGTGGCTTCTAAGTGTAACTGCTGCGCTGTCTTTATCAGATCGCCCTGATAAGAGGATTCACTCATAAGGGACGTCTTTTGAATGATAATAAAAACATCAACACAGGGGAGAAGAATGTACTCATCTAAAGGGTAAATTCAGTTTGATGTAAACAATAAGGATTTTCTGATTTCACATTTAAATTCAGTTTAAATGCAAACTTAACTTACTTTGTTTTCTCCTTCGATGATAAATTCAAATTATAGCCAAAACAACACAAAGATAAGACGATGGCTACAACAATCGGTGTAACATTATTTTGGCTGCCTTTCGATGCTGTAAAGAAAAAAGAAAGCCAGATTAGAAATTCATACTTGGCTGAACTCTTGCAGCATACCTGAGAGTGAACTATAACCACTCAATCTCACAGACCTGATCTGTAGTAAAATATGAAATTGGTCTAATCAACCCTGAATGGATGGTGCCCTAAAGTCACAATTTAAAACTACATGGAAGGATAGTCACCTCCTGGTTTTAAGGATCACCTTAGACATTTCTGACATTGTATTTCTTTAAATAGATTGTTATCTCCTTGGTGACCTGTTGTTACTGGCATGTAAATGTAACTCTTTACTTTGTCTTGACTTCTTTAATAAGACTCTAAAGGCTGTGTGACTGAATTGACCATCAGGGATTAATAACACATCTGAATCTCATAAAATCAATTTCATTGACAGTTTTTAGCTTTTAAACAATTAATGCTAGTCCATTTATATGTCAAATAATCTCTGCTTGTTTCATTTCATTTATAGTTAGAGGGCGTAATCACAAACAGAGAGGGAACAATGAATGACTGAAATGAGATGGATCGCACTAAGGCCATGTTTAGAAGAATGATGAACATGATGACTGGTTTGGTCTTTGTTTTCTTCTTGTGGTTTTTGTTAATGGTCTGTCATGTGTAAGTTTATATTTGTGTGTGTTGTTTAAATAAATAAAAAAACTATTTTGACTTTTTTTTAAAGCAATTGATTAACAAACTATCACTGATTAGTCTTAAATCATGACAATGTTTCTGCTAAATTATTTCTTCAGAATTATGAACAAAATGATCTCCTACCAACAGCTGAAACACAATGAAAATATTTATATCATTGTTTCATCAACAACAACAAAAAACATCTGTTGTTTCTATTCAATCCACACTGTGTTATTAGCGTTAAATTGTAGTTTTTAACTCTTACCTTCAGGCTTTACACAAAACTCTTCAATCTTTTGGATGTCCTTGTAGAGCTGACCTGGTTGCTATGGTTACAGATGACTGAGCCGTTCTCCAGGTAGACGTCCAGAGAAGCACCAGGTGTGATGATCTCTGCTCGCTCTCCTCCCTCGTGAGAGCAGGTTTGTGTGTCACATGTGAACGTGCTGCTGATGAGAGAGTCCTCAGTGCTGCAGATCACTGTGACCTTAGTGGAGTCTGAGCTGCAGAGTTTCACTGTCAGCTTCACTCCAGACACTGGATCTGCAGGAAGCAAAGCAAGTGTGATGACTTTTTTTAAAACAGGGAACGACTCTGTATCAACATTTTCAAATTAAAGAAACTACCCAGAACTGTGACGCTGTATTCAGCTACAGTGATTTCTTTGTCAGCAGCAACACGTGCTCTGTAAACTCCACTGTCCCCTTTTGTACGTTCTTTAACAGTAGAGAGTGAGTTTGTGCAGAC